GATCAACAACAAAGGGACACTAGAAACCATACAAGTACATGGAAATTAAACAACATACTCCTAAACAACAAATGGGTCAAAGAAGAAATCAAAAAGGATATTAAAAAATTCCTAGAGACAAATGAAAATGAAAACACAACACACCAGAACCTACAGGATACAGTAAAAGTAGTTGTAAGAAGGAAGTTTATAGCAATAATTGCCTATATCAAAAAAGAAGAAACACTTCAAATAAATAACCTAACATTACACCTTAAGGAACAGAAAAACAAGAACAAACCAAACCCAAAATCAGTAGAAGGAAAGAAATAACAAAAATCAGAAGAAATAAATGAATTAGAGACTCAAAAAACAATACAGAAGATTGATGAAACAAAGAGTTGGATTTTCAAAAAGATAAACAAAATTGATAAACCTTTAGCTAGACTAACAAAGAAAAAAAGAGAGGACTCAAAATCTGTAGTGAAAAATGAGACATTACAAATGATACCACAGAAATACAAAGGATCATAAGAGACTACTACAAACAACTATATGCAAACTGGAAAACTCTCAACAAATGAGGTATAGGAGGAATGTACCTCAATACAATAAAGGCCATACAGAACAAGCCCACAGCTAACATTAGAATCAATGGTGAAAAGATGGAAGCTTTTCCTCTAGGATCAGGAACAAGACAAGGATGCCCACTCTCACCACTTCTATTCAATATAGTACTGGTAGTCTGAGCCAGCACAATTAGAAGAAAGGAAAGGAGAGGAGAGGAAAGGAAAGAAAAGGCAACCAAGTCAGAAAGGAAGAAGTGAAATTTTCTGTTTGCAGAAGACAGGATCTTATACTCAGAAAACACCGAAGACTCTACCAAAAAACTGTTAGAACTAATAAATAAATTCAGTAAAGTTGCAGAATACAAAACCAAAATACAAAAATCATTTGTGTTTGTATATAGTAAATGAACTATCTGAAAAAGAAATTAAGAGAACAATCTCATTTACAACAGAATCAAAAATAATAAAATACTTATGAGTAAATATAACCTAGGAGGTGAAATATCTTTATACTAAAAACTATAAAGCACTGATGAATAAAATTGAAAAAGACACAAAACACCGGAAAGATATCCCATGTCTATGGGTAAGAAGAATCAATTTTGTTAAAATGCCCATACTACCCAAGGTGATCTACAGATTCAATACAATGCCTATCAAAATTCCAGTGACAATTTTCACAAATAGAAAAAACAATCCTAAAATTAGTATGGGATCACAAAAGACTCGGAATAGCCAAAGCAATCTTAAAAAAAAAAAAAGAATAAGACTGGTGGCATCGCACTTCCTAATTTCAAAGTCAAAACAGTATGGTAATAGAATGAAAACAGACATACAGACCAATGGAATAGAATAGAAAGCCCGGAAACAAGCCCACACGTATACGGTCAATTAGTCTTCAACCAGGTTCCAAGAGTACACAATTGGGAAAGGATAGACTCTTCAGTAAATGGAGTTAGGAAAACTGGATATCCACATGCAAACATAAGTAAAATAAAATTGGATCCTTATTTTATGCCACACGCAAAAATCAACTCAAAATGGATTAAAGACTTAAGTGTGAATTGAAACCATAAAACTCCCAGAAGAGAACATAGGGAAAAAGCTTCATGACACTGGTCTTAGAGCCTGTGACACCAAAAGCACAGAAAACAAAATAACAAGCGGGACTACATAAAATCAAAAAGCTGCTGCACAGCAGAGAAAACAACTAACAAAATGAGAAAGGCAAACTAAGGAATGGAAGAAAATATTTGTTAACCATATATCCGATGGGGGTTAATATGTAAGGAATTCGGGGCCGGCCCGGTGGTGCACTGGATAGTGCGCCGCTTGGGAAGCGTGGCGGCGCTCCCGTCCGAGGGTTCGGATCCCACATACAGACCGGTTCCCGCTCACTGGCTGAGCGAGGCGCGGGAGCAACACCAAGGCTTGCAATCCCGTTGCCGGTCCCCGGTCCGGTACGGGGGCAACACTGAGGGTTGCGATCCGTTGCCGGACACGGAAAAAAGACAAAAAAGACAAAAAAGACAAAAAAAAAAAAAATATATGTAAGGAATTCGTACAACTCAAATAAGCAAAAAAACAAACGACTTGATTAAAAAATGGGCAAAGGACCTGAGTAGACATTTCTTAAAAGAAGACATACAAATGGCCACCAGGCACACGAGAGGTGCTCAACACCACTAGTCACCAGGGAAATGCAAATCAAAGCCACAATGAAACATCACCTCATACCTGTTAGGATGGCTGTTATCAAAAGGACAAAAGATAAGTGTTGACAAGGATGTGGAGGAAAAGGAACGCTTGTACATTGTTAGTGGGAATGTGAAGTGGTAGAGCCAGTATAAAAGCAGTTTAGAGGTTCCTCAAAAATTTAAAAGTAGTCAATCGAGATGGCAGAATAGACGGTCCCCAGCATCACTCTCTCCCACAATCAACCAATTTGCAACTGTTAAAAAAGCAATGACAGCCAGGCTGGGGCTGCTAGAGCTCAGGGGAAGAGGAGGAGAGACCTACAGAGTTCATGAAGGGGGGAGAAGCCATGATGAGGGAAATAGGGGACTGCTATGACTGTTTAGGGCCCCGACCACTTCAAGGCTGGCCCTGGTGAGCACACAGAGCAAGAGCTGGCAAAAGCTACAGCTGTGCCCTTTGTGTGAAGTTGCTTGGAGGTTGCAGGGGAGAGGAGGGCCTTGGTGGTCCCCAGGCCAGCAAGATCACTAACATAGGACTGAGGGGCCATAACAACTGAATAAGCAGTGCCTCAGAGGCCAGTGAG